TCAGTCTCCTAATGACATCCAGTGCAAGTAAGAGTGTTTCCTTGACTCCAAGGAAGGGTTTTTACCTGAAAAATCAAGTCATATTAGGTTCCCAAATTCTCCACTGAAGGTGCCAATGACCAGACAGGAAAACCCATACCCTGGTGAGTTGTAAAAAAGGTTTTGCTTTTCCCAAAGGAATTCAGGTTTCAGATTTCTTGTACTTTAAATCTATGGCTGTCAATGTATAAGCACCTCTAACACTTTCCCTTTGACTCTATACTAAACAGTGTAACAAGGAAAAGCTCTTTGTACTTAAACACCTCCTTATAATGTCAATTTCCTCTCAAGAAAAGTTAAAGTAGTTGGCAACTTCCTTAGTACTGAGTATATTTTAAAATTACAAACGAAGCAGACAAGACTATATCTCAAAGATTAAGAACAAAAAGAAACATAAAATATTTGTAGAACAGGAATGTGATCCTACCTACAAGAGATAAACCATTAGGGGTTTTTTTTCTGGACCTCATAATTATGGGCAAAATGGGCTACACAAGAACACCACTGCGAAACTGCAAAATCTTCTTAACCCAAAGGTGCCCAGGCAGCTATGTTCTATTTTATTGCTATCACCAAAATGTTCTCTACTCCCCTTCCCCCAAACAGATTCCATTATTTTAAGGCATACATACTTTTCTTCCTAGTTATCCACTTTCTAGTCCTTCAGGACAAGGCAACTTCCTACCCCAAGGAGTTTTCCCAGACTCCATTCTCTCTACACTTGAATATAGTGTACACTTCTATAGTTCCTAAGGTACTCTATGCCAACTCTATCATAGCAATATGCCACTGTACTATCATCTATTTACTTTTCTGTCATCACCACCAAATCATTCTCTCTTATTTCCCCAACCAGGGTCCCAAGCAGTTCCTGGCATGCATTAAGTGCTCAAAAAAAGATATGTTGTAATGAATTAAATAATCCCAGGCAGAGCATTGTGAGTAAAAGTGTAACATGACAATAAATCTCAAAGAGTCAACATTTAGGGTAAAAAGTGGGGAGGCAATTATAGAGAGCCTTTTCTCTACGAAAGGACAGATCAGTGTGTCTGGATGCACCCACTATGGCAGTGGACTCTAGTCAGTACTGCTGACTGGTTCCTACCTTGGCCCCAGTCAGGCTAAAAGAGGATTATCTCTGGGGCCCCACTTCTCTTTGGGATTGCCTTTGACTACAGATATAAGGAGAGTACTAAACTTTCTAGCCTGTGCCACTGGGAAAAGAGACGGGTTAACAGTGCCAGGTGTCCCAGAAATCTTGGGCAAGAAGAAGGTCAAGGCTATGGCCATTCTCTGAGAGATCATAGCAACTTCTGCAGCTTCCACAGTCATATCTAGACTTTTGATATTTTATTTCTACATGATGTCCACATAAAATCAAAGTATTGTTTTTGTGTCTGAAATATTTTCCTAGAAGTAAACAGGTAAAATATACCACATTTCTATAACTTTGTTTTGGCATTACTTATATAATAAACCTGGAACCTAAAAAAGTAGAAGTACCCAGAACTCTCTCTCAACCTCTGTGAAGCCCTGTTTACAAGGTGTAGAGCCTTGTATAAATCATTTAACTTCTCCATGTTTCCTCACTTGTAAAATAAAGATATGTCCAGTCCTAACCCTGTGGTATTTGCAGATACAGGTAAAGAGCCTAGCACTGGAAATAGCAACAGCTCTGACTCTTTTTTTGAAACAACCAGGATCTACTATAAAAACCACTGACTGACAGGGCTGTACATAATGATAGTGGCGGCCTGTATAATGTCTTTCTCTGCTACTTCATTACTAATAGAGCCTCAATCTTGTTTAGGTAAACAACTGCATGTTTCTGCTCCCCCAGAGGTCATGGGATTCCACTGCTTTGCCTATGAGTTTATGTTATCTCTGAGCTATAGTAGAGTCTGTCTGTTCTTTGCTTTAAAACACTTTGGTTCTATTTTTAAGATAATTATTGCATAAAATGGAAAGAAAGATATTTATGAAAAGAACTTTCTTGATGGCCAGGTGTAGTGGCTCAAGCCTGTAATCCTAGCACTCTGGGAGGCCAAAGCAGGAAGATCACTCAAGATCAGGAGTTCCAAACCAGCCTGAGCAAGAGCGAGACCCCGTTTCTACTAAAATAGAAAGAAATTAATTGCCAACTAAAAATATATAGAAAAAATTAGCTGGGCATGGTGGCACATGCTTGTAGTCCCAGCTACTTAGGAGGCTGAGGCAGTAGGATTGCTTGAGCCCAGGAGTTTGAGGTTGCTGTGAGCTGACGCCACTCTAGCCCGGGCAACACAGTGAGACTGTCTCAAAAAAAAAAAAAAGAACTTTCTTGAGATTTTGAGGTTGATTTTTTTCTCATTGGTGAATTGCAATACACATATATAAATTTGCACTACAAAGATATTAGCTACAATATAGTTAGGTTGACTTTCTGGTTACAGTAACAAACTCCTTGAACATATATTGAACTCTAAAATGAACTATGTCTCTAATCAGGTAAAATGAAGTTTCTCAGGTTCTCTCAGTCAGGTGGGGTAGCTCATGCCTGTAAACTCAGCAAATTGGGAAGCACAGTGGGAGGATCGCTTGAGGAGGTCAAGACCAGCCTGGACAACATAACAAGATCTGTGGCTCACGGCTGTAATCCTAGCACTCTGGGAGGCCGAGGTGGGTAGATTGATCGAGGTCAGGAGTTCAAAACCAGCCTGAGCAAGAGTGAGACCCCGTCTCTACTATAAATAGAAAGAAATTAATTGGCTAACTAATATATATAGAAAAAATTAGCCAGGCATGGTGGCGCATGCCTGTAGTCCCAGCTACTCGGGAGGCTAAGGCAGTAGGATCGCTTGAGCCCAGGAGTTTGAGGTTGCTGTGAGCTAGGTTGATGCCATGGCACTAACTCTAGCCTGGGCAACAAAGTGAGACTCTGTCTCAAAAAATAAATAAATAAATAAATAACAAGACCTTATCACTGCAAAAAAAAAAATTTTTTTTTTTAATTAGCTAGGCGTGGCTAATTAGTCCTAAGTCCTAACTAGTCCTAGCTAGTGCTTGTAGTCCTAGCTACTTGAGAGGGTGAGATGAGAGGATCCCTTGAGCCCAGGAGTTCAAGTTTACAGTGAGCTATGATCACACCACTGTACTCCAACCTAGATGGCAAAGTGAAAGCCTGTCTCTTGAAAAGAAAAGAAAAAGGAAAAAGAGGTTTCTCATGTTGCTAAAATTTATGTAAATTTATGTAAAATTTATGTGAATTTATGTAAAATTAATTTTTCCCTTTTCAAAGCTGCTGGTGAGGTAAAATGACTTTCAGGTTTTATTATAGTTTATAAATTAATAAATGGGATATTTAATTCTGTAAAAAAATTAAAATGGACAAACTGGAGTATATGCATACATGGAATATTAAGCAGTAATGAAAAAGAACCAACTACTGCAACAAATGAATTTCACAGATGATTTACCAAGAAAGAATCTGGACACCAAAGAGGATATTTATACAAAAATTAGTGTTACTTATATGAAATTCAAAATGATGATACAGACAACAGTTACTCTGGGAAAATATTGATTTTGAGAAAGGGCACAGAAGTGGAGGTGACATGGTGAATATTATATATATCAACTGAGCTTATAACTCAGATTTCTGAATGTTTTGTGAGTTAGACTTAATAACAAGGAAAAAATAGCATTGCTTTACATTAGCAAAAAACAATCAGAAAATGAAAACAGTTTAAATATATCCCATTCAAAATAGCAACCAAAACTATAAAATACCTAGACATCATTAAAAATTATGTCAGACAATAATAAAACTTTACTGAAGGATCTAAAAGTGAAGGAGTACTCAATACTGAAACACGATATCATTGCAATGTAAGTCCCCAAGAGGCCAGGCACAGTAGCGCACACCTGTAATCCCAGCATGTTAGGAGGCAAAGGCAGAAGGATCTCCTCAAGCCAGGAGTTTGAGATCAGCCTAGGCAAACTAGTGGGACCTTGTCTTTACAAAAAAAAAAAAACTGGCTCGGCATGGTGGCACATGCCTGTAGCCATAGCTTCTCAGGAGGCTGAGGCAGGAGGATAGTTTGAGCCCAGGAAATTTAAGGTTACAATGAGCTATGATCACGCCACTGCACTCCTGCCTGAGTGACAAAGAGACCCTATCTCTTAAAAAATAACACCAAGAGAATTTTCTGACAAATTTTACAAGCTATCCCTATTGATATGGAAGAGTAAAGGCCAAGTGTAGCTAGATAGCAGAGAGTCACAGAGTAATGAGAGATAAATTGCCCTCCCAGATAGCACAGCTTTTTAAGAAATTATAGCAATTAAAATAAAGTGTGATATTTTGCAAAGAGAAGAGGTAAAAAAAACAGAATAGAGATCTTAGAAACTGACACACAGCTAGGCACAGCAACTCACACCTGTAATCCTAAGTAACATGGGAAGCTGAGATGGAAGGATTGCTTGAGCCTGGGAATTCAAGGCTACAGTGAGCTATGATCACCACTGCCCTCCAGCCTGGGAAACAGAGCAAGACCCCATCTCTAAAAAACAAAATTAAAAAAGAAATTGAAGAAAAATTGAAGAAAGAAACTGACATGGGAGTGGAGTGTGTGACTGAGGCAGTATTGAATAAACTGGGAAAAGATAATCTATGTCAAAAACAGAGCTAGAATAACTGGATGCATATATGGATAAATTACATCACTACCTCTGACAGTACTCCAAAATAAATTCCCAATATATTAAGGACCTAAATGTGCAAATTAAAATTTAAGATAATTAGGAAAAAATTCAAATGCCTTTTGACAAATGATTAGAGAAAACAAACAAACCACAATGGAAAGAAAGCACTGATAAATTAGGCCACATTAAAAAATTTTTTTCTTATAATAAAAAGGTCAGTTTTATTAAATGTTCAATTCCCAAAATTATATATATTTAATTTTTTAATTATTAAAAAAACCCTCCATACCCATGCCACCCTGGTTTAAGCCCTTTCTCCAAACTAGGTATTGTCCAAGTAGTATCAAGCTCAACAAAATCCCCAATACATCCAACAGCAGAGAAGACAGGGTCCTGAGGACAAGCACGCTGAGGTCTTCACCCACACTGCAGAGTCATCATTAGCAAACTGATGCTAGAAAGGGAAATGGAAACAGCTAAAACACACAATAAGGAAGGGAATTGGAATGGGCAGCCTGATAAAAGACTTTTATAATTTATACCAATTTGTGCATGTTTAGAATGCCCACCAACTCCAAGGGAACAGACCAAACTAACTGCACAAACAAAGGCCTCTGCCAGGGCCTCCTCTCCCTACGACCTCCTCTCAGGAATCGTTAGGAAGTCCAAACAGCTTCACAGTTCCAGCTTCCTGACTGCTGTCATATTTGCCATCTATGTCATCACAAGCAAATGCCAGCAAAGGCCTTTTGGGGTGCCACGCCACAGTGAAGGTCAGAGACTCACACTGCACCTCCCATAACTTGTCTCCTGTTTCTACTTCAGCTATGCCAATAAAATGATCTTCTTATGCCGAGGCCAGCATTTTCCAATCATGGCTAAAACTGAGCATCCTCACAGGCCAATCCAGCCTGGAAAAGCACCAAACACACACTAACTCATCCACGTCCCAAAGGCTGACCAAAGCATCTGCACTTCCTATAGCAAAGTACTTCCCCATGGGATCAACTTGATACAGATGCAGTTGCAAGGATGGGCATTGATGGACTGCACAGGCTTCAGCTCTGAGTAGCTGAAGATGTTGATACAACCATTGCCATTTGTCAGGAAGAACATGTTATCATTATTCCAGGAGATTTCGTTGACCTCAAATTTGAACTGCTCTTCTGCTTTGGAACGGTGTGTCTTGGCCTCAATAAACGTCACCACATCATCCTTGTTGCCTACAGCGATGGTCTGCCCATCAGGACTCCAGCAGATATTAATGTTCTCCCCTTTAGTGTTCACAGTGGCAATGCATTTTGTAGTCCTCACATCCCAAATGCGAATGGTTTTATCTCCAGATGCAGTGACAAAGAGGTCAGGATTACTTGGATGCCAACAAAGCTGGTCCACGCTATCCCCATGTCCCTGATAATTGTTTTCTTTGACCATCCAGTCTTTCTCCAGCACGAAGACGCTGACCGTGTTATCGAAGGACCCCGAGGCTAAGCGACGCCTGTTGCAGCTCCAGGCCACAGAGTGCACCTTGGCACTGTGCGCCAGAAACTCGAGTGTCTTGCTGTAGCCCTGGAACAGATCCTGCATTCCAAGCACGTAGCGCGACGGTCCGCTGCTCACCGAGCACCAGGGCGCCAACGAGCCAGGGCCGCTCTGGCCCAGCACTGAAGGCTCCATGGCTGCCGCAGGCACTCCCATGCCAGGGCCCCAGAACCATGCACCACCACCTCCACACAGTTTGGGCTGGCGCACAGGCCACATTAGAATTATTTAACAGCTTTTATGCATTTACATACCATAAAATTTACTAGGTGTACAGTGCAATGACTTTTAGTAAATTTATAGAGTTGTACAATCATCTCTCAAATTCAATTTTAAAACATTTCTATCACCCCAAAAGAACCCTCACATCCACTTACTATCCCCCTGTTCCCACCCCAGCCACACTAAAATTATTATTATTATTATTTTTTATTTTGGCATATTATGGGGGTACAGATTTTAAGGTTTCAATAAATGCCCATTTTCCCCCCTCCCCCCAAATAAAATTATTTTTTGTATAAGAGAACTGTAAGTAGGGCTGGGTGCAGCGGTTCACACCTGTAATCCTAGCACTCTGGGAGGGCAAGTCAGGAGAATAGCTTTAGGTCAGGAGTTTGAGACCAGCCTGAGCAAGAGCAAGACCCCATCTCTACTAAAATTAGAAAAAATTAGTTGGGAATGATGGTGCATGCCTGTAGTGCCAGCTACTAGGGAGGCTGAGGCAGGAGAATCGCTTGAGCCTAGGAGTTTGAGGTTGCAATGAGCTATGAGGATGCCCCTGTACTCTAGCTGGGGCAACAGAGTGAGACTCTGTCTCGGAAAAAAAAAGAGAACTATAAATAAAAGTCAAACAGACTATGAGATGGTATTTGCAATGTTTATAACTGTAAAAAACTAATAAATAGAATATATGAAGATAACTGTAAGGCAATTCACAAAAGAGGAGCCTCAGATGGCCAATAAACATGCAAAAAGATGCCCTCCCCACAAGTAATCAGGGAGATACAAATTAAAACAAGAAACGATTTCATTCTCAAAAGATTGGCACAAAATTAAAAATCCAAACATATGAAGCACTGGCCAGCCAGTAAAAAATGGCTCCTTTCCTATTCTGTTTATGGCAATCCAAAACCAAAGACATGGACCATCCACAACTCAGGATGTGCCCAAGATGGCAGGTTCAAAGCTGTTCATTGCAGCATTGTTGTAAAAGATAAATGGGGCAAGGCGCAGTGGCTCATGCCTGTAATCCTAGCACTCTGGGAGGCCAAGGTGGGTGGATCGCTCAAGGTCAGGAGTTCTAAACCAGCCTGAGCAAAAGTGAGACCCCCTCTCTATTAAAAATAGAAAGAAATTAATTGGCCAACTAAAAATACATAGAAAAAAAATTAGCCAGGCATGGTGGTACATGCCTGTAGTCCCAGCTACATGGGAGGCTGAGGCAGGAGATCGCATGAGCCCAGGAGATTGAGGTTGCTGTGAGCTAGGCTGACACCAAGGCACTCTAGCCCAGGCAACAGGATGAGACTCTATCTCCAAAAAAAAAAAAAAAAAAAAAAGATAAATGGACCTACATGTACTTCAAGGGGGAAATGGATAAATAGGTATATACATAAACTATACAGTACTGAATGATCTACATATGTCCATATAAATAAATTTTAATACCAAATTGGAAAAAGTTAAGAAATGGTATTACTAGTATACCATTATCATAATTTTCAATCCATAAAACAGCACTATACTATGCATGAATTTATGAACACACATACATATATACTAATAAGAACAATGATATGGAATGGTAGGGTACGTACCAACTTTAGAGAGGAGAGAAAAGGAGGGGATTGGTATCTAGGAGGAAACAGGAATTTTAGCTCCATCTGTAACTTCTTTTTTAAAAGTCTGAAGCAGTGGCTAACACCTGTAATCCTAGACACAGAAAGATCACTTAAGGTCAGGAGTTTGAGACTAGCCAGATTAAGCATGAGACCCCATCTCTACTTAAAAAAAGAAAAATTAGCCAGGCTCAGTGGTGCGCACCTGTAGTCCCAACTACTCAGGAGGTTGAAGCAGGAGGATCGCTTGAGCCCAGGAGTTTGAGGTTGCGGTGAGATACGATGACACCACTGTGCTCTAACCTGGGAGACACAGTAAGATTCTGTCTCAGGGGGGATAAAAGGTTTGAAGAAAATATGGTAAAATGTTAACATTTTAAAACCTATCTGTCAAGTACAATAGCCTTTTTCTCTGAACTTGCATTTTATTAAAAAACAAAATAAAACCTCTATTATGCTAAAAAAAAAAAAAAACTTGTGTCAATAAACAGTAAATGATAGGGGAAAGAATACACTGTCAGTGGTTCCAAGGTTGGGTATGAATACCATCATAGTCCTGTGGGAGGTGGGAAGAAAATATTAGAACTCCTTTATCTGTTTTCTTCACTTGGCCTTCAAGTACCACATTCTCTTCATCTTCCTGTTACTCAGTCTAGTTTACCAGTTCTTCTCAATCCCTTAATGTTGAAGACCCTGGGGCTCACTCCTTGGTTCATTTTCTTGAACACCAGATGCATATATCCAACCATTTACTAAGTCTAGGAAGACTAAATTTAACAGAGCCAAAAACAGAATCCATTCCTCCCCTCCCAAAAAACACTCCTCTACCTACAGTATCCCCAACCCCATTTTTAAAACTGCTCTCACCGAAAACCTGGCAGTCACTCTTAATTCCTTTCTTGTCTCAAAGCTCACACCATGTAATCCTACAAATTGCATCTTCAGAGCACATCTAGAATCCAATCACTTCTCACTACCTCCAATGCCACCATCCTGGTGTGATCCCCAACACCTTCCTAACTAGCCTCCCTGTTTCCATCATGGCTTTCTAGTCTGTTCTCAACACAGCAGCCACAGTGATTCTGCTAAGATGATAGCCCAGGTGCAGTGGCTCATGCCTATAATCCTAGCACTCAGGGAAGCCAAGGCGGGAGGATTGCTTGAGCTCAGGAGTTTGAGACCAGCCTGACCAAGAGCAAGACCCTGTCTCTACCAAAAGTAGAAAAAATTAGCCGGGTGTGGTAGCACACCTGTAATCACAGCTACTCGGGAGGCGGAGGCAGGAGGATCATTTGAGCCCAGGAGTTTGAGGCTGTAGTGAGCCATGATGATGCCACTGCACTTTAGCTAGGGTGACAGAGTGAGACCTTGTCTAAAAAAAAAAGAGCATGTGACTTCTTTGATCAAAATCCTACAAAGGGCCCCTCTCTTTCTTGTTTCCAGGGTATGTGGCCACCATGGCATCCAGCAAGGAGGAAGGCATTGATGGCAGAACCTTGGAGGCCAGTGAGGAGAGGGAGGCCACTGACAAAAGGAAGCACCTTAGCTTCTTGGCCACCACTTGGCTCACTATCTAAAACATTGCCATGACCACCAGGCAAACCAGTTGGTTCTAGCTATTGCCATGGCACATTTTTGTACGGAAAAAGGAACACACAGCAGTTTATATAAAAATATTCAGAAAACACTTAAATTTTTCCAGACATTTGCCTTGCTTGAGATATAATTTATTTTTAAGACAGAGCCTCGCCCTGTCGCCCTGGCTAGAGTGCCATGGCATCCTCGTACCTCACTGGTACTCTCCACCCCCTTTCATATGCTCTACTTTTTCTTTTTTCATGGCACTTATCCCCTTCTGACAAATCATATACTGTACTTACTGATGATGTCTATTGTTTATTATTTATTATTATAATATCAGCTTCAGGAAGATATCCTAAGTGCCCAGAGCAGTGACTGACACATGGCAGTCACATAATAAATATAGATGAATAAATGAATGTCTGTTTATGATGTACTTAACAGTTGTATACAACAGCATAAGTATATAACGTGAAAAAATGTTTATGAAAAGTTTTTTTTTTTAAATATTAGGGTTGTAAACCAAAAGTTTACAAACTTCTAATCTAGACCTACCAAAACCAGAACAAAGAGGTAATGTGGCTTTACAGAGAACAAAGTATGTTGGCCACATGACAGAATTCCAAATCCACAAATAAAGAGAATATAAAATTCTGTGTTTTGATTCTAAAAAGATTTGATATATGAAAGAAAAACAGGTTTAAATATACCTGGGTAAAAACAGCAACAATAACAACAAAAATCTAAACAAAATATAGAAGGAAAAAGAAGATAGCTTATAAGGAAGTGGATTATACTGTTTTTATCTATAATACAAAAGAGAAACACAGGGGTAAAAAAAATCAGGCAAACACACAAATAATCTCAAGTATGAAAGATAAACCAGACCAAATTACTTGTTGAAGCAAATTTAGGAGATACAATGTAAGTAGTGTTTTTTTGGTTTATCTGTTTTAATTCAATAACACAGCAAGCCTAGAAAGTAGCAATGAATAAAAAGCCCTCGCAAAGAAAGAGAAATTGTAATCAGATATGGTGCCGAACAAGGTCAGGACTATTTTTAAGAACTAGGAAGGCACTGTCTCCACAGCGATTGCAAGACAATACTTGGCCACCAGATTCTTTAGTCAGAAGGGCACTGACATATACTAAAAATGCAGATAAGCAGGCATGCACTCTAAGAAGCTCAGTTAGAATTCCAAATTCTGTGCCCAACATATTTTTATAGCTTCAGATTAACCACTTGGGTTTGATATGCAATCTTTCTATAAAGTGAAGTATCCTTGGTACCTTTGCATTTCACAGGTATTTTAGCAAATTTCTTCAGAATTTCATTAAAAGTTGGTTGATAAATGCAGTATTTCTATAAACCTCTCTAAAATTAAATATATCCACTTAAGCACTAAAAGTTATCATGACAAAGTATGATGCCCTTTAAAAAAAATCGCATTCCTTGGGTCTACAAAGGAGTGGAAAAGAAGGGAAAAAAAAAAAAAAAAAAAAAAAATCATAAAATTTGTTTTTTAAAATAAAAGCAAAACTGGGAAAGCAAGAAAGCCAAAGAAAAATCCGGCAAAAAGTTTTTTTGGTTTTGGCAAGTATGTCTTTATTTTTTATGGTCTAATACAATCCAAGGGAAAAATAACATTACTATAACTAAAAAGAACACAATAAACTGATAAGTCACTAACAGAAAAGAACACATAAAGCTTGGGTTACAGAGCTCTGGATTCTATGAAAACTAATTTCTAATTAATTTCAAAAATAAAAATGCATTGACATGGACTCTGACAGGAAAAGATACCAAAAGACCTTTAAATTAACAAACAAAAAAACTATAACAGGCTGGGCGCCGTGGCTCACGCCTGTAATCCTAGCACTCTGGAGGCAGAGGCAGACGGATTGCTCAAGGTCAGGAGTTCGAAACCAGCCTGAGCAAGAGCGAGACCCCGTCTCTACTATAAATAGAAAGAAATTAATTGGCCAACTAATATATATATAGAAAAAATTAGCTGGGCATGGTGCATGCCTGTAGTCCCAGATACTCGGGAGGCTGAGGCAGGATTGCTTGAGCCCAGGAGTTTGAGGTTGCTGTGATCTAAGCTGACGCCACAGCACTCACTCTAGCTTGGGCAACAAAGCAAGACTCTGTCTCAAAAAAAAAAAAAAAAAAAACTATAACAGAAAACTAACATGAAAACA